CCTCTATTTCCTGTGCGAGCCATTGTGTGATACAATGAAGCAAGTAGTAATCGATAAATTTTACTATAAAAGAATGTGCTAGAAGTATACAAAATAAGAAAACTCCCTAAGGACCTCTTGTAGCCTCCTGAATATAATTCACAGACATCTTCACGCTGATCTTTATGACTCTACTAGATGTTAGCTCTGGACTAGTGAAACTGAGGAACCTACTTAAAACTCAATCTAAGGGAAACTAAGTCTCATCCTACTTAAAGGTTGACTGTGCGTGCTCCAAGTTACTCTGCCAGAGCTTTTCCTTTCCGAACAACCTTGGAATTTTGTCATAATATTAAAAATTCAACCATGTACGATCATTTACTGAAATCATCAAAATTAGAGATAGACTATTTTTTTAGTCTATATAAGGAAATGTGGGACTAGAACGATAATTTCTGGAATTGACTCCAGAAGAGGACCAAAACACTCCTCCAAGCTTGTGCTCCAAACGGAGAACATCTCGGGGCATGGAAAACTCCTTGCATCAACAAACCATATAGACTTAGGAGAGCCACTTACAATGCTGATACACCACAATCAGAGACTTTATTACACACTCAAGATGCTACACATACAACCAACTCAAACTCCAATTCATCGGACATTGAATTACCAAAAATGGAGCTCGAGAATCCATATATTAACGTTTCAAAATAAGAAAGAATCTGATTTTAACTATTGGAATAACAACATATCTGGACTCTAAATGCTAAATCTAGTCGCCAAAATATTAAATTCACGTCGCAAAAGATCTACACCAACAACACAAGATTTTTTGATTTTTTAAAAAAGTCTCTAAATAGACCATTAGAATTCGTTCAAGACCCGATGAAAATAAACCACATATTCTACCTCATTCAATGTCATTGTTGGAATTTCAATACGATGTCATTTCGAAAAAATTGGCCGCACGCCCAAATTTTTGCCAATCTCCAAAATGGGCCTCGAAATAAGACCACAAGTTTGAAAAATCTCACCAAATGTCATTCGAAACAAAAAATCAACATTCCGAAACTAACTTCCTTGAAAAAATTATCATACAATTGTGTTTACCAAGAATGTTAATCAAAGTAAAACTTAAGTTATAATTCGAAGGTTTATGTGCTAGATGTCCCCAAAGTCAGACTGTATGCCTTAGGACTTGTGCCAACCATGCTAACAACCTATTTTTGGTGTTGTGGATCTTGTGCAACTTTCAAATTACCATTTGATGTCGTTTACTTGAGGTTATGACTGAAATCAACTTTTCATGTTTCAAAAGCTCCTATAGGATAACGGGTATAAAACACAAATGAATGACTCGACGATCAAATAGTCAGTCCTGGTAAGTCATAAATTACTTGTGGTCGCTAGGGGAAAGCTCTTAATTATGGAAAGATGACATAAACATAGAAATTACCTGGAGGGTCATTATACCATAGAACAAGAAGCAACACATCGAGCACAAAATAGACAACACATAATATCCCTAATGATGTTATTTATTAAAGGTGTTCAAATTTTTTTTCAATATAGCAGCACAAACCTTTTTCCAAAAATGCACATAGAATCTATCACAACTTGGGCGGAGTTTGTCAATGTATTCTTAGTGGTTTCCCTCTAAGTGACCATTGCAATTGTAAAACTAAGTGATCATTAATATGGACACAAACATAGAACTATTTACTAAGATTGGGCACAGAGTTTAAGAGTAAAAAAAAATTCAAAACTTCTCGCATATAGTAAGCTATGGCTATAAAGTAAAACAAGAAATTTGATGTTAAATTGTTACTAGGTGTGGAAATATGTCCCTTTTTATGGAATGAATAAAAAGAAAAGGCTATTGCATATATTATTATAGAGGTAAAATCCTAATAGCAACTATTTTATATTTCAGGTCTACCAATAGTAAAATGGAAAAGCCAATGATGTTATATCTCTGGCATTCCATTTGTCTTGCTTTGAGTTCTCACTAGCATTTTATTTTTAGATTTTTATTGAGAAACAGTACTCCTCTAACCAGCTTGATCAAGAGTCCGGGGAGGGAAAATTGACAGAGCTCTACTAAAGAATGTGCTAGATATATTTGTTGAAATTGGATTGGGGTCAATGGATTATTTTGAGAACGATTTTGAAGATGCAATACTCGAGGACAAAACAACTTATTATGCTTGCAAAGATTCGAACTGCACATGAATCTTCAAGGATACAATCAGAAGCTTTTCAAGAATAATAAGATGCAGTGTCCTCGACCATTGTAACTTCAAAATTGTTCTCATAATAATTCATTGACAACACTAAAATTTTTACAATTATATCTAGTACATTCTTCATTAGAGCTCTGTCAATTTTCTCTTTCTCATGCTCTTGATCAATCTTGTTAGAGGAGTACTGTTGCTTGATAAAAATTTAAAAAGAATTGTCTCCGACAACTCAAAGCCAGAGAAAATAGATACCAAAGATATAGCAACATCTCTGACTTTTTCATTATACATTTGGAAGATTTGAAATAGGAAACAATTGGCAGTACGATTTTACTTCTATCCCAATTGATGTGATACTCCTCCCTTTTAGTCATTCCACATAAAAGGACATCTTTCCATATTTTTTAAAAGTTAAAGTTCAAATTTCTTGTTTTACTTTATAGCCAGAAAGTTTCAATAGCTTAATTTCTACCACTAGTTTCAAAATTCCTTCTCTTTCTCTTCTAATCAAACTTTTTTTTACTATGATCATCCATTAAAACATATTCATCTAAGTTCAGGTCATGGCTTTAATATTGTTTTTTGTTATTATGATTTTTTGGGTTTTCCCTCTTCTAGAATTTGTTATTCCGTTTGACACGATACTCAAATGCTGCCACATCTTACTAAATAAAATCTAAAATAAGATAAAACAATCAAATATGTGGAAGTTATCACGAGTAAATTAATCTAGCACATAATGAAAAGTTTAGAGGCTTCTCCAATGCAATCTCATAAAAATAAATATGTGAATGATGCTTAGGACAATTATCAATGCCACAGCTTCTAAGGTAAGAATATTGGAGTCAATAGATAATACAATCGCAACGTTAGCATAACGAAGGGACCGGGTAGTAGAACAAAGGTATTTGGAGTCAAGGTTAATGGGGAAACAAGAATAACTTTGGAAATAAAAGTGCAAATTTTTACATACCTCCTAGAGGGAAGATATGTATATCACAGTAGTGGTGAATGAAGCCTAAGAGTGCTTTACAAAAGTAAGAGAGGATATATGCAAAAGTTCGCACCATGTTTGAGATGATCAACCCCAATACGTCCTCTATCCAAAAGCATGAAATGCAAATTAGAGACATTACAAAAGAGCGTAAGCCCCTCAGAGGGCAAATTTAAAGAAAGACTATTGAGTATCTATCTCATTTCAAGGAAATCATCACTTGTAGTAGCAATTTTCTCCCAAAAGAAGTAGAAAAAAATTATAGTTGTTGAACAGACTATATAGAAAAAGGGAGCCCAAGAAGAAGAGATAAAATTGACTTGCTGGGTTATCTCTCTTGCTTATGTAGATTAAGTAAAAAAGAAGGAAAATTTTGGACCTTTCACCACTTGAAATCATGAATTTTTTAGTGTCTAGTGTGATAATACGGATAACATCAACTTGATTCCTTTCTCTATTGATAAGCATTCTAGTCGATGTAAGACATAGTTCTATCATTGTTACTGATACTATATGACATAAAAATCATATGTCTGTAAATACGCTTTAAGGGATGATCTTCTTGTTTTTTTCCCCAGTAAATTCAATATAAAGACTTGATTTTTTTGAATATTTCCTATTTTTAAGGTAAGTAATTTATAGGCAAAGTAGTATTGGAAAGATTTGGATCACACATGGTTCTCTTCGTCGTTATGATTTTGTATCCATTCTCCCCCCCCCTTTTCTTCTTGTTTTTCCGGCACCTCAATTAGTTGTACATTAACATAAATAAATAAAATCGTATAAGTATAAAATAATAGATAGCTCCTTCAAATAGATGATGACATGACCGAACAATTGGGTTGAGGGATTCAAAAGTTTCCAGAGGACAACGTTAACACTATGCCTTATAAGCAAGAATTTAATGAAGTGTTTTAGTTACTTACATTAGTGCAAAATACACTAGAAGAGATGAAATAATGATCAAATACCTATCAAGGAAACATGTAATGTATTTCCTCCCCTCTATATCGTAAATAAACTTTCAAGGAGTGTTCCAAGAATGATATCACTAGATAGTTAGTCCATTATTAACATTAGAGAAAAGAACTTCATTATATAAACTTTTACGACACTTTTCTTAAACATGGATGCGGGACAGAACTCTACAGACTTGATGGACGGGCTTGGACTTGTTAGGTTTGGCCCATTTCCTTGATGATGATTTTCAATTTAATCATAACTTTTTTATCTTTGGACTGTTTTGCGAATGGAGTTGTCGGTCCTTCCCTTAATTCTTACAAGAGAGTAACCATCGGGAAGGACTAGAGACTCTATTTCAAGAACAGTCTAGAGACAAAAAATAATCATGATTACATTCAAAATACACATTTGTTGATTAATAAAAGTGTCCTTGTAGTTTATGAAATGAAGTGTTTTTCTAGTATGATAATAATGGACTAACAATTTTATAATATCATCCTTTGGACACTACTCAGAACTTAATTATTGATTTAGAGCAGATTAAGTACTACATGTATATTGGTTACATATTCAATGTTTTTTTCCTCTCTTTTAATGTAGTTTGCATGCAATATAGGTAATTAAGATTCTTCATCCAATTACTACCGATATGAAATCGTTTTGAAGTAGTCTTTAACAAAGTTGTGAATCTCACAGCCATGTTATTCAATGATGTTATCATTCTATTCATCAAATCTATCTATTTATGTGGTACGCCCATGATTCATTTGTTTGATGAAGATATATAAAGTTACTACAAAAGCAAGAAGAAGGGACAAAAATAATTACAAAACCGTAATGGTGGAGATAGAACTATGTGTTACTCAAATCATTTCAATCTTAATTTACTTGTAAATTATTTACCCTACAAAAGAAAAATTCTTCCAGCAATTCAATATATATAATGAGTTTAGTTGAAAAAAGATAAGATCACCTTTATAGTATATTTATGGACATAATTATTTATAGAGTAATGAAATACTTGTGAGCATGATTTATATTTCATCTTTCTTCTTTAAGACCATTGAATCTGTCAACACAATGAAATACTTTAGTTAGTGCAATACCCTAGTGATAGACAATAGTAAAACATATACACATCACTCTATCATATATTACTAAAATTGACAAACTAAAAAGATGAAAGAATGGATTACCATTTGATCTCTAGTCTAAATTAGATATCTATTTATGTAATATTAAATAATAATCTTTTAATTATTTTTTTAATTTTAAGTTATTTATTTGAAAGATAATGACATAATTAAAAATTAAAATGTAAGTTAAAATATGTTGCTTAATTTACTAATTCAATTATCTAGGAAAATGAAAGGGTTCTTTGTCAATTAATTGATACTTCATAATAAATCACTCAGTTACTAGAGTTAACACATGTAAGTTGTAATATTGAAATTAAATCACATTCATGATATATATATATATCTATATATATGTGTGTGTGTGTGTGTCTATTTTCTTTAAATTATTACTACGTTATGCATATAATTTTTTTTGTATAACACATACAATATTTTTATGAAGAGTAAGAACTACTAACAATTTATTTCTATTTACAACCTTCATTTATCTTCATAAATATTACTATTTATGTATCACTTACTTGCATGCCTCTTCGTCGTAAAGATATTCAAGAGAATTTAAAAAGCTTTATCAAGCTATAAATATGTGGACTTATTAATAAGGAGTAATAAATACATAAAGGGAAAGATTCAAAGAAAGCAAATGAGAAAAGCGACTTTAGTTAACTATTAGAATCTAGTTCACTACCTCTTCTTCCAATTAGGTTTTTAAGAAATTATTCTTATTGAAACCGTTGAAATTTAAAATAATTATATAGCAATGTACATGAATTTATTAACCTAGCATGCAAATACATTTATTGTCCTTTTAGCAATTGTTTGTACTTTGTGTTAAGAAAGAATTAGTCATTTTATTATTTTTTATTATTAGAATCTATTTTTTTAAAAAAAAAATGTTTAACTTCATACAAAAAATATTGAAATAATATTATGAACTGGAGGAATTATTACTTCTCACACAAATTTCAATTTTGAAAAAAAAATTAAGGTATATAACATAGTATTTTGAATTTCTATAATAAAAAGTAAAATTTGAGGACAATCTATGAAATATTCACCTGAACAGACACTTGAATATTCTTTTAAAAATTCATCTCCTCAAAAACATAATTGTTCCGATCTAACTAATAAGTAGTTCTTCATTATTTTAAGTCAGACGATAACTTATTATTCAAGTTTAATGAAATATGCTCACCATTCCAATAGGTTTTGGATTTCGTGTTTTTACTTTTAAAAAATTATTATATCTTAATATTCAAGAAAAAATAGTTTGTGCTAATGGAATATTCGTGTCAAGCACGTGTTCTGATAATAATGCATATAAAAATAGATATTACAATCTATAAATAATTCCACACTTTTAGTGTAATTTAAAATCGTTACAATTTGATTCACATGTAGTTGAATGCAAATTAAATTCGTTTTATCCTCCTACCTTGAAATTTATTGGAGAAAATTTCACATTAAAATAAAGAGTTTGTTGTTAATATATGAAAAAATAATTGAATGAATCTCTAGCTTATTATCTTGTAGTTTGAAAGTGTACGAAAGTACTTAACTATAATTATAATAGGTTATGTTGTTGCACATAAACAAAGATATTAAATACATGTCATTCATATAAATTTGATATATAAAATTTAAATAATTGGTAATACTAAAATATACTAAAATAGTATTCCTCTTATTGCAAGGAGGTCGAAAGCTTGTAGTTTCACTATACCCCTACCTTAAAAAATTTACATCCTCAATTAAAAATAAATTAGATTCAAATCAAGATAAAAACAAATATCCTTTTATTAAAAACAAACTAGACTCAAATAAAGATGAAACACACACATCCATTAATTAAAAACAAAACAGTCTTAAATCAAGTTACAAAAACACAGATCCATTATTTAAAAACAAACCAGACTCTAATCAAGTTGAAAAATAGAGATCAAATAAGTAAAAAGGAATTAGACTCAACTTAAGTTGAAAACTACAGATCCATGAATTATAAAGAAACTAGAGACAAATCAAGCTGAAAAACAAAGACCCGTCTATTAAAATGAACGTAGACTCAAATCAGGTCGAAAAACATAAATGTATCCATTAAAAGAAACTAGGCTCAAATAAAGATGAAAAAAATAAATATCCAACAATCAAAAGAAACTATATTTAAATAAAGTTGAGAAGTACACTTCCATTGATTAAAAAAACGTAGACTCATATCAAGTTGGAAAAATATAGATCCATCAATTCAAAAGAATTTTAACTTAAATCGAGCTGAAAAACACAGAACCGTCAAGTAAAAGAAAACTAACCACAAATCAAGGTGAATAACACATATCCATCAATTAAAATAAAATTAGACTGAAATAAAGCTGAGAAACACATATCCATTACTTAATAAGAAACTAGACTAAAATCAAGATGAAAAATTATAAATACATCGATAAAATAAAATCAATTAAAGTTATAACAAAACCTAGATCGATCAATAAAAAAACAAGTCCAAAATCAATCTAAAAAATAAAATCCATCAATAAAAAAGATACTAGACTTAATATAGGCTTAAAAATACATATCCATCAATTAAAAAGAAAATACACTTGAATCAAATTGAAAAACACGGATCCATCAATTAAAAACAAACTAGACTCATATCAAACAATGAATGAATAGAAACACTAACATTTACCCAACCAATAGGCGCTCAGGATGACAATCCTTGGTTCACTCATAGAGATGCACAACAATTTGATCAAAAGAACTAATCATATAGATAAGAAAAAGGAATGAACAGATGCACCTTTTAATCCCACGTTACAAATAAAAAATAAGTTATGAAGAGAAGAACACAAATCTTACTTCTACAAGACGAGAAGCAACGATGAACACCAAAGAGGGACATGAGTGTTGATCATCCAAAGAAGAACATGAACTAGACTGTTATTATGGAATCTCATCACTATCGACTTATTCAGTAGAGAGAGGATGTTGAGAAATAAAATTATGAACCTTCTATTGCAAACCCTAGTAATATATTAGTTGATATAACAAAAGGCCTCTTTTTTGGACTGGGCCATTTATCTTGGCCTTTTTTATTGTGTGTTTGTGGAACTATATGGAAACCCATATTGTGGAATACATAGTTATACCTAATTAGCTTTAAAAATAGAATAGTTAGACCTAATTAGCTTTAAAAATAGAAAAAGTAAAGTTGTAAATATAAATCTTAAATATTAAACTAGTCAAGATCATACTTTTTCAACAATATAACTAGTTTACATGTTAATTTTTTTTAATTAATAAACCTTTTTTTTAATAAAAAAAATTTGTAGGCATAAAATTTGTCAACAACGCCAATTTATAAGAATTTATTAGTACCCAAGATACAAATTAGTTTTTTCAATTCACCTATACATTTGAAGTGTTACACGATTTTGTCATAGTAAAAATAATTTATTATCAAATTTTTTTATTGTCATCACCAAGTAGGACGAAGTGTATACCAACATGTGTACATTATTCGACTTGAAAATTGTATTAGAAGTTTGTTGGAATTGACCAATTCCAAGTGAACAATAATTAAGCATAGTAGAAATTAAAAGTTTGGATAGATGTGATTAAATTTGCAATAAGATGTTGACGTATTAGGCCAAGAACATAAAAGTTGGTGTAATGCTAAATGACTAAAATACCTTATACATTTGTTCAAAAATTTATAGGGAAAATGCATAAGTAATTCCTCAACCCTTTCTTTAAATCGCAGAGACACACTTATAGAATACTAAGGTCCTACCATCTCGACCTTATTTTACAAATAACATTTTCGTCCTATGTAGCACTAGTAAAAAAATACAACATAAGTTGGGCCCAAAAAGATAGCGCAACATAGGTTGAATGGGCTAGAAAATTATTTATTGAATAAGTTCAGAGGGTAATAGGACCTTAGTATAGTATAAGTGTGTCTCTAGAATTTCGGGTATAGGTTGAGGTGGTACTTATGCATTTTTCCCAAATTATATGTCAATATTAATTTTTTTAAGGGAAAAAGGGAACGACCAATACTAATTAGTAAAGTAAAAGTTGGTGTTCTATTTTCGAAAAAAATATCTATGTTAAAAAAATAATATATATATATATATATATATATATATATATATATATATATATATATATATATATATATATATATATTTGAATATAATTTTGTTCCTACCATAAACCGAATATGCTAAAATATCCAATTGAACATTAAATAATAATTGCTTTATCATCCTAAAAATTCAAACATCACCAACTAAATGTTACCACCTCATTGTTTTACTTCATATATCAACAATTTATGTCCTTGTAAACGTTGTCAAACTCTTTATTTTTCTTCATTTATCGATTAAATTGGATAATTAGTTTATATCAAATTCTACTCATTAAGTAATCTTTTATAAAGACATCAACAATATGTCAAATTCTCACCATTGAATAGAAAAACTCACGAGGTATACATTGAATCTCTTTATTAATTCCATGTAAATTTTATCCAATCATATTTTTATTTCCTCTAATTTTATGTTGAATAAAAAAAAATTTGAGATCATGTATTGTAAAATTATACAATTTTCTACAAGAACCTCGAATTGTAGAATTGTTTGCTATGAAAAAAATTCTCATAACACTATAAAATCCTCATTCATCAATGAAGAAAAGAACATTTGCACGAAAAATCCAAATACTTTTAATAAATTTTGTAACATTTTGAGATAAGGCACAAGTACCCCTTTAGACTATACATAGAATTTTTCAAATCACATCTTAACTACACTAAGATCCTATTACATCCCAAATCAATTTTTGAAATTTTGTCTTTTTTTTTTTTTGCCAATGTGACATCCAAACATCTCCCACACGATCCAACTTCATGGACTCACAAATTGATTTACGTAAGTCAAAAGGTGTTTAAAAGTATAAAATAAACTAGGTATATTACCTGTACATCGCACGAGATTGAACTATTTTATTAATCCTACATATAATCATTCTATAATATTCCAATCGATACATGCAGTACATTGTACAAAATATTTTATTATAAGACACAATGTTCCTCTTCAAATCTTAAAATGCTTTACCTTATTTTTTTAATTTTTATTTTTGGTATAAAAAATTATTTGTCATAGATAGATTTTAAGTATAAAAAAGAAGTCTAAGAAAAACTCCGTAAACATAGTTGGTCAAATGTAATAAAAAAATTTTAGTTTTCAAGAAGATATAATGAACAATATCAGATGTTAAAAAAATTGTCACGACCCAAATCCGGACCGCGACTGGCACCCACACTTACCCTCCTATGTGAGCGAACCAACCAATCTAAACCTTAACATTTCAATGTAACATCAACAGAAAAAAATGCGGAAGACTTAAACTCATTAATAAAAACCAATTCAATAACTATCAATATTCAACATCTATTATTCCCAAAACCTGGAAGTCATTATCACAAGAACATCTACTTTAAACTACTAATTCTAAGAGTTTCTAAAAGCTAAAAATACATAAGAAGCTAGTCCATGCC